GAGGTCAGCCTGGACCCTCGAGGTCATGACTCCGGCACACGGGGTCAGGAGGTCAGGAGGCAGAAGTCTGTGAGGCGAATGGTGGAGAATGAGGGTTCTGGGTCGGCCTCCACAGGGAGGAGCCAGCACTAAGGTCCTGCCCCTCCTTCCCCCTGCCCCACTCCCGGGGTAACCTAGGTAACCGTGTGTGGGGGCGTTGTCTGAAAAGCTGCATGATGACTTCCCGCCTTACCTTTTTGCGCTGGGCTCCACCACCCTCTTCGCCTAATTTCACTATTCCTCTCATCTGTCTATCAAACGTCATTCATTCATTTACTCTCTCCTTTGTGGCTAAAGCTTCCTCGTGGAGATCTTCTGCTGAGATCCCTTCAAAACAAATTAATTATTTAAGATCTAACTGAATAACAAATCAATAACCTGTAAAAATGTATAATAATGATATGTGCTTGAATCTAAATAATGTGACATGTTTATGTTGAGTGGATCCTATTAGAAGCAGAACATCAGTTTAACAAGGAACACAAACAGGTATAAAAGTAGGTTTATGGAAATTAGAAAGGACACACATACTTTAGATATAAAACTGCAAACACTGTGGCTAGCTTTATCTTGTTTTGGCAAAGTCTCTCTAAGGCCTGAGGGCAGGTCACTGATAACAAAAACACCTGGTGCACTTGCATCATAAAGCCCAGATATCGTAGCTATGTTAGCAGTGCCAGTACCATGAGATTGTGCTATTGTTGATGTTGTTTAGGGATCTAATTCCTAACGGAGTGTTTACCAGAGGGGTTAGTAAGGTTTTGGGTCTCTCATAGCACACCTTGGTACGCCTCGACACGTTACCCCTGGGTTGCACCTGGAGACAGATTACTTCCTTCTGACTGATAGCTAGGAGCTGAGGAAAGATATGCAGGTCTTAGATTTTTTGATGCAAAAGCTGCTCATAATGTTAAATCCAGACTTGAATCTGACGACTCCTGACCGATTTTGGACGAGAAATAACTGACCATGAAAGATTTTGACAGGACCTGCCTATCTGTCTGTTTACCAGCTGTTATGATTAAGTGATAGCATCAGATCAATAGTGTGTATTTGTGCATATATGGGTAGTTGGCCACTCACACAGATGTGGATGCATGCCGTTAAAAAAAACAGGAAAGGTGGGTGTGGGTGTGTCTTTAGAGTTACTGAAGAGGAACAGATATATTTAGGGTTCACTTACTTTGGTTTCCTTCGTCTTCTTTCCCTTTGTGGTCTTTCCTAGGCTTAATGCTCTTAGACTCTGTCCTCTCCTGTCTTTGGGACAAAACATGCCCTCCTCTGCCAATAAACCACTGACTGTTGTCTCACAGCGTGTGTGCTGGGCTGGAATACACAACTTGCAGTGTCTCATGTCAGGTGGTGAGATGTTAGCTGAGCTTACAGTGTGAAGGCGCCACCTGCTGGAGCTCCTCTGTCATGCAGCCCTACACAAAGCTCAAAGTCCAACCTTATATGTTTATGTTAATTTGAATAACTTGATTGGATCATGGGCTGAATTACAGATGAGGTGGTTATTTTTTCCTCTGCATGCTGCTGTTTTTCATTCAGTGTTTGTTTTGTCTCCATGTGTCTGTCTGTCTAACAGACGCAGTGGATCTGGGTTCCCCGGATGAGCTGATGGATATTTCGGAGGTGGATGAAGGGATGTGGCCAGGTGGGGTGGGGCCTGACATGACCCCACCCACCATCACTATCAGCAACAGCGTCACCACATTGAACCTGGGGGCCAAGGCCATGAAGATGTGTCGGCTCGGCGGGCGCACCAGCAAGGACAAGGAGGCAAGCCTTCTAACAACGGGCCGGGCCGCCAGCGAGAACACAGAGCTGTCTGTCAAGCGACTGACGCTTACTTCTAGCCAATCGGTTCCCAAGGCAGGAGCTCTCACCAGTTTGACGCGCACCGCCAGCGCCGTCTTCTCCCGCTCCTTTGAGCAGGTTGTCAGCGGCAACGCCCCTCCCTCCAGCAACCACACTGCCTCCGAAGCTGGCCGCTATTCATGCAGCCTGCAGGAGGAAGGGCTGGGGTACTTGAGTCCAGCACCAAACCACACTCGGCGCTCTCCCAGCATTAGCGTGCACCTTGGCTCTGACCTTTGAACCCTTGTGACTCCTGACTACCTGAACCCTCGCCTCTGATCCTGTGACCCTGTACCTGTGACCTGGAACTCCAAGCCATGCCAACTGCAACGGACCACAAACACATGAACAAGCAACTCCCGCTGGTCCCCTCTTCACTCCATTTTAACAGCTTTGGTTCTCTGTGCTGTGAATCAGCCTGCTACCTACCCTCCTCCATTCAGACATACAGAGTTACTTCTGCTCTCTCGGCAACTTTCCAGAGTCTCCTCTGGGCCTGATAGGGGGCGGGATGTCAGGGATACCACTACTGTCTTCAACGATTAGTAGTGCACTGTTGCAGAGAAGTCGCACCAGGACAAAACGGTAACTCCATCGCAGAGCAGCCCGTCGTAAATAGGTCCTCATGGGAAAGTATTGGGAAAGTATTTTAATTGGCATTTGTTGCCCTGCATGGCTTTTCCATACATCCATCCTGACCATGCTCTGATTTGTCAAAGGTGAAATGTTGAGTATGTATGTGTGTGTGTGTGTGTGTGTGTGTGTGTGTGTGTGTGTGTGTGTGTGTGTGTGTAATTGTTTTTAGAATAAAGGCTGCTTATTGATACAATGAACAATTATATGATTCTCCAAGTTGAAACAAGTGTCTATACTACATTTTAAAATATAATAGATCCTTTCCCATAGCAATACAGATTTCTCCTATTCTGTGTTTTCCATCTTTGGGAAGATTACCCAAGCTCCCATCGTTCACACTAGTTACAGCTGTGCTTATCGAAAGAAAAATCTGCATTCTTTCCCTTGAAACATCAGGAAAAACGACCACACAATAATCACCCAGTATGAAGAATCGGTTCTTTATGTTTACAATTGCACTGCGTTGTTATCATGATGAGAAGCAATATTTGTGTCCTTCCCTCTCGCTCCTCTAGCACTTTCCTGAATTTCTGTGTGTTTGATGGCAAAAAATAAAAATCCAGTCCTCATTACGAGGATGATTAAGGTTTTGGGGACAGTGGGTGTGTATGATTTTAAGTACTGAATTTTGCACTTGAACGAGCAAACAAGTTGGTTTTCAACTTTGGTATTTTCTTATGATCAACAAGAGAGGTTTGACTCTCAACTGTGGTATTGTCCTGTGAGAGAGCGATTCTTTGTTGCCCCGTACGGATTTCTACGCGTCTTGCATCTAGCCAGTGATCCAAAACCACACAGACTGGAAGTCCACTTACTTGCACAGAGGTAAAAGAATCCGATACCATCGACCTGCAATGGGAAGGCGAGCGGGGGCAACAAGGCATCTTCTCTCTCTTTTGATCCCCCCACCATTCCAGCTGTTTAGTAGTACTTTGGTGATGTGTTTCCTGTGTTCCTCCTTATTCACATCTTCATCATCCTCATCATCACATCACAAGACATGGTGATAGTCTCTTGTACCAAAAAAAGGAATTAAACTCCACCCATCTGCTACATTTGATGTCCTAAATCCAGCCTTCATGCTGCCCCACCCTCAAGCAAAAGTGTGTTAAGTTGTCTGTGTACTAGAGCTGCCCAGTGTCCATTGCTTGGTGGGACAATAACAATCATCGTGTTTCTGTATGTGGGTTTACAGAATGTGAAAGGGTAAGCTCTTGTTGTACATCATACTGTTGTACTAAAGTTGGTTTATATTGGCCTTTCTATGTCTGAAGATAACTCACTCTTACAACTTCTGGGAATAAAGTGTTTCTATATTTCACTTGTTATTTCACATTTTTCTGTCTCTGCATCAGCAAACATTACAACCTACACTGTCAACAACCAGAACTAATGCATGAGAGCTGGAGAGCAGCATTTGGCTTCATGATCAAAGAATGTTTTTATGTCCGGTCGACACTTTCGACTCTTTCTCCACCCTTACTTCCTGTGTCCATGCTCAAAAACTCACAATAGGTGTAATCTTCATTGCGCCGAGAAATCGGTTTAAAGATATTTTGGCTTTAAAGGAAAAGCTTGTTCTATCTATCTTTACAGTATAGTGATGTAACAGTCAGAGTTGAGTGGGCAGGTGGGCTTTTTACAATAACTTAATATTGAAATCCTGCAGTATGCCAGAGTGAGTAATGAGGAGGAGTCAAAAATCAAGTATTGCACCTTGGCAGAGCTGTCAAGGTGCTGATCCTTAAGTACGAATCTGAGGTAGGCTGCACTTGAGTATTTTATTTTCACGCCACTTTCTGCTTCTACTCCACGACATTTCAGAGGGAAATATTGTACTATTTCACTACATTTATCTAACGCTTTAGTAGGTACTTTGTAGTTTTACTGCTTTGAGTAGGTTACTTAGACTGTATTATACTAATTAGAGGCTACACTTTACTTAAGTAGTTTAACATTTTCAATGCAGTAACCTACTTTTACTTGTAACATACTACTTTTACAATGTGGTAGCCTAGAGTCCTGCATACTAAAGGGGCTGATAGGCCTACTTTAAAAAGCTCCAACAATTCACTCAATTCAATAAAATCCATAGTCTGTGTCCAGTGTTCAAAAGTGGTCTGTAAAATTTCGTTATGCGTTTGAAATGATTTAGTCTTCTCATACTGAAAGATGTTAAAACTGGTTAAAACCCTCCTGCTCTGAGCTGCAGGGAACTGGCCCACTCAAGGTTAGAGCGGTTCCCAAAACTTTGAGTAGCCGGAATAAAGGTGTAACATAGTCATTACAAATAAATAATAAATAAATATCATTATGTGTCTAGATCTCGTTGAGAGGGGAGTTTGAAGTGAAAATGAGGCTTTAATATGTGAACTGTAGCAGCCGCGCTTTCACACGTCTGGCCACAAGATGGCGGCCTATGACAGACGCACCAGAGGGATAACGTCGGTAAGCAGCCGAGTCAACTACGTCACTTCCTCTAACCGTGTCCTTGGCAGCAGCAGCATCTTTGCTGTTCAGGATAAACACATGGCTAAATTGAGCAAAGAGACCAAACAGCGGCTGCAGCAGCTGTTCCAGTGCGGCCAGTTTGTCATCCGATGGGGTTTTATCCCAACCGTGCTGTACCTCGGTCAGTATCCGAACAGGAGCAGGGGGTAGACGGGATGAGGAGACACACCTCGCTAACGTTAGCCAGTTAGCTTATAGCACATTAGCCTTCAACGATGAGCTAAACTAATAATGTAACTTTTCGGGTTGGTTGGGCGGGCAAGACTTAACCTTAACTAATAACGCCGACCATTGACTCCCTCTATCTGAGCAACATATAGTTACAAATTAATAAGACAACAAGGCTTCCAGGCGCTGTTTTATTTAACGTTAGTTGCATTGGGTCTGTATGTAACTTTGTAACATTAAATGTAAATGTCTGTAGCTTTCATGTTTAGCATTACAGGGTCCTAAGGGGTTGTCGACTTTACATTCCCCTTTCAGGATAAGTGATGCAACGTTAGTGCATGTAATGTAATGTAATTCATGGTGGTGTTTAACGGGCGTAGAAGTGTAACGTTAAGCCACATGGTTACGTTAGTGAACTGTTGAATCAGTGCAGATACTCCAAACGGATGTGATGAAATGACATGAACTCCATTTGAAATCAAGCTGGGACACCTTTGACTGGCGATTATACCAACGTTAGGACGTGAGAGAGGGATATATATTTTTCAGTGATCTCTATGATGGACTAAGGACTGTGCAGGTATCCTTCTGCTTGTATCTAAAACGGTCGGAAACGGCTAACGTGGAAATACTTGTGCAATAAGTCCTGGGTAACGTTAGTTGGTTTAAAACGGTTCCTGTAGTACCCAATGTCAGGGGCACTAAAATACCTGGTTGTGGTTTTGGAGAAGAGAGGGGGAAGTTATGACTTTTGCATGGCTGTGGTTTGGAGTAAACATGGGGGAAGTTCAGACTTTTGCAGGTGTGACCTCACAGCCGGTGGAGTTGCCCTCTATGGGCCTTTTCCGAAACTGCTTGCTACTCTCTCTCCCTACCTACTTCCACTCCGTTTGAGCGTTCATGCGGAGGGTCCGTCACATTGAGTGGCATACGAAACCAGTGAGGGCAGTGGTAGTGGTTTGTTAAACCCTCAGATTCCGAGTGAGCACCGATGCTGGCTTGTTGAATGTTTGGAACACCCTGTGCTGCACGATGGGGGACCTTTCTTTCACATGCGATTTCTGCGTGACTACGCAGGTTGACATGTAGGATTTTTTAATTCCGAAACTACACTAACATATCATATTACCATTTACAGGGTAACAATGTAGCCCAAAGGTTATATTGTGTTTAAATAAAAAAGGCTCTTGTCTGATAGACAATAAAACTGTTGATGTTATTGAACAATATTCATCTCATGTGAAAATCTTCAGCCAAAATAAAATCGTCTACACAAGGACAGAATAGAACATGGCATAACTAAATACACAGGGGATCATATAACAAGCAACAAAGGCATTAAAGAAAAATAGTTAAGTCTTTATACAAAAAATAATAAATTCTTCAGATTATATAATGCTTCAATATAATATTTGATTTATATTGAAATGTTGCATTTGAGAATGTAATATTTTTCATATAGGATAAAGATGTTCAAATATATAGCCTAGGCTTTTCTTAACAATGAATATAAATATTTTGATAAAATAATATAATATTTATTTTTCGTGTCTAAAGTCACGTTCTTAAAGAAATATTTGACACAAACACAAAATTAATAACAAATGCTTTCAGTTTAGTTATTGCAAAAAAAACACACTTTTCCTCAACATCAATCCTGAATCTTAATAGAACAGTTGTTTATTTGATACATGTATTACAGCAGTGAGTAGGCTTAGGCTACAGCGGTAACGTCGGATCCTATTTACGCTGGGGGGTAGGGTAGGGAGCTCGATTTGGCTGTGAGGCTGACTCCGACCAGAGTTAACTCCGTGTCAGAGTGGAAGTGGCGAGGGTCTAGTTTCGGGAAAAATTCTCCAACTTCAGCATTTTCGAAACACCAAAGCTGATGCCATACTTTCTCCCTCTTATTTTTACATGCATTTCTCTGTCTTTTGCAACTCTTTTACTTCTTAACGGCAGAATAATATTGCGTATATCATTAGTTTCTCTTGTGTTACCACCATCTGAATAACTCTGGTTTTGTCAGGCTGATATCTGGTATCCTATGAGATAGTCAATTAAATCATTACTAATAAATTAGTTTGGCTTTTGTAGGTTTCAGCTTTTCTGATTTTGACTCTTATTTTATGTGTACTGGATTTTTTAGGACTTTTTTTGACTTTTGTTGATTGCTCCGAAAACAATTAAAGATTAATTGATCAATTGTAAAACTCCAACGAAAATACTCAGTTGCAGCCCCATATTAAGGGATGAGTAAATTGAGATTATTTTTAGCCTTCCAGGAATCACTCTTATCTGTTTCTTAAGAATCACTTGCACCAGTAATGACCTATGAAGGAAGCTAGAAAAGATATTGGGGAAATTGTGTGTAAGGCGGAGGCAATGAGTCAGATGTAATTATGGCCCTTTTGCTCTGTTTCTATACTATTCCAAAAAAAATGAGACCTGCAAGACAGCTGTTGATGTCAGAGCTTTCTGACACAATGATGCTGTTTAATCAAAGGGGTGTTTTGCAGAGGCAATCTGCTGATTAAGTGCAAATACTCACAGTGAAACATTTGCAAATCACAAGGTTATTGTCAGAGAAGATTGTTGCTATATCATCTTTGTGCATAGGGATTTCACACATTTAACTGTAAAATGGGGACCATACAATATGGTTTATATGCCAGTTGATTTTCTATACTAGATGCTTGCAGCTCACCATAATAAGCTCTTCCGGATGAGAAAGATTCTGTTTTCACTGTCGCATTTCTGGGCTGTTTTCTCAAATATAAATCGGTGTGATTCAATTCTTCTTTTTGCTTTCAACTTACAGGTTTCAAACGAGGAGCAGATCCAGGAATGCCTGAACCCACAGTTTTAAGGTAAGAACAGTTTGGTTTTAGAGTTGTGCTTCCTGTCAAGTCATAAATGTAATATCAGAAGCAGGAAGTGAAATGTGACCGTAAGAAGGAGTTTTCACACCTATGCAACACTGGGACTTCTTTCCGTTAGTCATGGAATAGTTGGGCTAACTGTACTTAGTTGCACAAGTTGTTTTGCTGACTGGCAGAAAGTGAAATCTGTAGTTCTACATGCTGGGTGTATGTATTAAGATTGCGGCGACTGACAAATGATTCTATTTCCTGACTTGTCCTTCAATGTACGTCAGGACATCTCTTTAATTTAGTGAAGTCTTTGAATATCCCTCCATTTGGAAGGGATTACATTCTTCTTATAAACAAAGGTCACTTAGTTCTTGACTCCTTTTTTCTTCAAACCCTTCATGATATAGATAGAAATGTAATAAACAGATTTCCTCTGCAGGAATAGTACTCACTTAGTTTAATTTCTCCCCTAAATACTTGGAGTTTCCAACACTTGAAAACCCTGAATGTCTGTCTAGATGTTAGCTTTTAGTTAGCTTTAGTTGCTGTAGAGGTGAATTAAATACTTTCTACAATTAATAACTGGACATGAAAATAATGATGGTTGGTGAATGGTTAATACCCCATATGTAACGTGGCTGATTGAACCATTTGAGATAATTTTATCTTCAAGGGGCGTTCAGTTATTTGTGTTGGTGTATCATCACAGAATGTTTAAAAACTATATATTTAAATTATATTAATAAACATCTGGGTGATGATACAGCAGCACTTGTGCTCTGTAAGTGAACTGTGGAACTTCAGGAGTCTAGCTGAACCTTTATTTTTTATTTTTTTCTAGTTTACTGTGGGGCTAAGAAACGTCTCCACACAGCCAATCCCCTCGCCTCATCAAGACCATGTGACCCACCCGTCAACAGAAATCCAGGAAATGGACATTATTTTTCACTTTCCTCTCCATAAATCATATTGTCCAATGTCCAAGAAGTAAAGGAATGAATGTTATCTGCAGCCATACTGTTTACTGTTTGGATTAACAAGCTGGAATCAAGACTTTGTCGCTGAGAATACATTGTCTTGACTGGTCAATCTGTAGTTATTTTGTTGGGAATGTGTGACAGCAGTTTGGATATGCCATTCATTCCATGTTTGTTCTTTTTATTTGTAATTTAAAATTTCTGAAAAATAAATCCACACAGAAATTTCTGTTTTGTCTTTCTTACCAAGAGCAGTGGTGAAAAGTACATATACTCAAGTACAAATTTGAGGTGCTAGTACGATTAACTGATTAGTTGATTGACAGAAAATTAATTGACAACAATTTTGATAATCATTTCCTGTTCTTAAATGTGAGGATTTCATACTTTTCTTTTTCATTTAAATTTGATTTTTAATGATTTTTGAAGTTTGGATTGCTGGTTGGTGTCCCTTTTGAGCTCTGGGTAATTATGACTGCATTTTTCACTATTTTCTGAATATATACAAACCAAATAATCGATTAATGGAGAAAATAAACAGCAGAATGAGTCCATAATGAAAATAGTTCAAAAGTTTAGTGGCATCTAGTGGTGAGGGTTGCAAATTGCAACCATTGGCTCACAGTGCATTCATTTCCCGAGTTATGAAGTCGTTCTTCTAAAAAATATTCTTATTATTCCGATACCACATGAATGCACCGCTCAACCCTCCCTTTCCGAGCATGCAGGAGAAGCTACCGTGGCTGACGTGCTCTGTCGGCTCTTGTGCTAAATAATACCTGTGGGCCTCCGTTTGTCCAAATTTAACTTCTCTTCTTGCTTCTAATAAACCAATTGACTACTACTACTAACGTTACTACTTCTTTGTATTCAACGTAGTGACGAAACATGCTCTGTAGAGCTTCTGTCCATTTGGGCTACTGTGGAAACTTGGGGGTGCAATATGTCGACGTCCATGTAAGCGGACCCTCTGTGTATGTAGATAGCAATGGCTCATTCTAAGGTAATAAAAAACATAATGTCTTTACATAAGGTCTTTATACACCACTGAAAACATAGTTGTGGACATGTATATTGCATTTGTGTCAACAGATCCTCCTAAAAATTACACACTGAACCTTTAATTGTTAGATTTGCCTGATTATACTTACATCTTATACTTTCATAACATTTTCAATGCTGAATTTTACTTGCATAATTTTTTACAGTGGTATAAGTACTTAAGTAAGGGATCTGAATACTGCCATTGCTACAGAACAGGCGTCATGTTGGGGCTTTATCTTAAGAACCAAAACTCGGTCTCGATTGTAAAAATCATAAGTCATATAAACAACTCCTCATTGTGTTAAAGTGATTTGTTAAGGTCCATGAAGTTTTAAAGTTTGGAATTCTGCAGAATTGTAAGATAAGAAAAATGATTCATAGATCACTGCTCACAACAAATTTGGTTTTATCTGCTTTTATAGTTTGATATTCACATTTTCCAGCATCCACCAAACATACGCAAGTAAGGACACTGATTAAAAGTGTTGTTACCGGATGTGGAAAAAGCTGTTTCAAAATGTGTCACATCCCTGCGGTGATAGAAAATATGTATTATGCATTGGAATGAAAATACTTGTCTCTATGCAAATGTCTATTTTTATTTCTACAAAACATTCCTTCCACTCAGTAACTGGAAACAATCACAACTCTTTGCATTTTAATAAGTTAACAGCAAATTCAGTATAAAAATGAAACTAGTTGTAAATAAATAACAGTTAAAATGACTGTAAATATAAAATCATTGTTTACAAAAATAGAAGATGCAATTATTGCTTTTTCTAACAATGTTGCTCAAATAATATCACAATCAATACATTTATTATGCGCATTTTAGTGCACAATCATGGATTTTCCTATGACTAATAAATACCACTTTTCATCAAGTATAAATAGATTAAATAAATGAGCAATAGTGGGCGTTTCAAGCCCTGCTGCCTTTAAGTCATATAGATACCTACAGTAGAATTAGTGCACTCAGAGCATGCACTGTCATGATTCCCCCCTTAACACCACCCCATTTCACCCATTTCCCTGAGGTATTCCTTAATAAGCAATTTTTAATACTTTCATCTTTTTAGCTTTTGGTGGTAGAAAGTGACAGGTGCCATGATCCTGTTGGCTATACTTCTTCTGGGCCGCTCCATTTTGTTAAATATTCTTTTGCAGTCGACAAGGAAGTAGTGGAGCTGGCGCAGGATGCTGTGTGCGGTCATCTTTCTGTGGAAAGTGTCTGGGTCTTCGAGGCCCTTCAGCAGCACCTCCTCCTGGCTGCTGGTGAGTGCCGTTACCTGTTCAGGGTTCCTCATCTGTGGGGCAGAGGTGACAGTAATCTAATCGGACTAAACAGTCCTGTACTGTAATAATAAACCAGTAATCAGCCATTAACAATTAGACAAAATTTGACATTTACTGAATGAAAAGTAGGACATTAAATAACTGAGTACATTTACTCAAGTACTGAGCTTGCAATTTTGTGCTACTTCCACAACACTACATTTGTGAAGGAAATACTGTCATTTTTGCTCATATACATTAATTTGCCAGCTATAGTTACGAGTTACTTTGAAGATTACATACAATACTCCTCATGAGTATTGTATGTAATCTTGGCCAGCTACAACAATAAAATGCAACTGACACATTATTGCATCAGTAAAAATGATCCAATAATGTAATATATACAAATGTTATCCTGACAGGAGGTGGCGCTTGTAGTAGATCGATAGATACTTTATTTATCCCGAGGTAAATTCAAGTATCCAGTTGCATACAAAACATACATACATTAAACATATATATTGCCTACTACAGTGTGGTAGGCCTATTGCAACTTTAAATTAAGTAAAAGATAAAAATACCTTTTCCACCACCGGCTACAACAAAGATAATGAAAAAGTTAGCCAGATGAAAAGCAATTGCATAAAGGCCAACACAGGGCTTAACAGGCTACAAGTTGAAATATAAATTTTAATTTAGCATCTCAGACCCACCTTTCCTTTGATCAGGCTAATCAGGTAACCGCCATCAACTCTGGCCTCTTTGGGAATCAGGCTGTTGGGGCACTCCTTCTCCACAAACTTGAGAAGAACAGTATAAATAAGTAGGCCATGTGCCAAACTGTGGAGACATGCCTCCTGGAGAGAGGAAAGAAAATCATTGTCAGTTCTCAAACAAAACCCATCACCCACCATCTTTTTTTAACATGATAACAAAGGAGGAAACGTAAGTACCTTGCTGAAGTTGGATTTAGGACAGTTTTTTGGAAGTGAGGAGGTTTTGTAGTTGTCCAGAAAGAGATATTGCACGTCTCTGAATTCATCTTCAAACTGATACAGGGCAAACAGTAAAAGACACATGATGGAGGTCAGGAGTGCAGTTCACCAGTGCTCTTAGATGTTACTGATGTAAGCAACTGCAAAAATACGTTCAGTGGCATTCCTGAAGATCATAACGCGCTTACCTCCTCCTTGTGGCGTTGGGTTGTGGCAAGGACCTTGGTCAACACCGGGGAGGTGCTCAGTAGGTCAGAGCGAGTCTCCCCCTCCTCACCTGAGGTGTCACCTGCCAGGGTGTCGGCGGGCGCGTCTACAACTGGAGCTCCGGGAGCGCGCTGGAGCAGAGCTGCCAGCATCACTGCAGAGAGCAAGTAAGCGTCTGTGCGGGGAGGAGAAGCATGAATGAATGACTGACTGAAAAGAGGAAGGAACACGGGAAACATGTGCACCACAGGCTGCAAATCACTTACTGAGTTTAGAGGGCATGTTGCGCTGCTGGGAAGCAAGTTGAGTTTCCACTGATGCTGAGGGCTGTCAGGGCCAGAAGGAGGTGCTCTGTCTTTTGCAATGGGCTCTCATTTTTATATTCTTCAGATTGGAGGAATTTCCCAATACCTTCCTGCAACAGGCACGGACTTAGAAGTTTGCGTCAAGCATCCGGTACGGCATCCGTATAGTTGATGGTGATGTTGATGAAGATAACAGGAGTGTCCAAGATGCTTCTATTCATTTCTAGTTCAAATTAAAGGATGAAATGCTGAAGTAATTATTTCAGTAATTGAAAACTTAATAAAGAACGTTTAAAACAGAGGCACACACCGTCAGCGTTGACTTGTGAAAAAAAAAATCCCTATGATATTTTAAGCCATATAATTTAAAGGGAAATCCACTCATAACCATAAATTTGCATAAAATCATCCCGATGGCCTGTGGTGGTAAAATCAGTATCGATGAAATAAACAAACAATATCCGGTGACGTGAAGTCAAATTGACGGTGGATTTTTAATTTGAATCACACACTGTGGGACAAGTTGCCTTTCCCAGGCAACTGTCTGGATTATTAGCATAGAGTGTCTTTCCCAATATTAGCAACATTTAGGTATTTAAAATGTTCTTTCCCTCAGTTGACCAGCTGGTCAAAAGGCTATATCAAGTCATCAAATGTATTTTATTATTATGGTATTTTATCAAAATATGTTAATAAAATGAAATTTAATTAGTGCATGAAATAAGTGATTCTTTTGTTTTGTCATGGTGATGCATCAGGTTCCTGTTCCAGTTTTAGTCATGATACTACTTCATTCAGGAGAGACTTCATCTGAGTGAACAAATCCTTTTTTCACATGTGCACAATGAATATGGGTTTGTGGCAAAACCTGGTTGGTTTAACTCAAGAGTGAACTCCCACAGTCAGCTGATAAGAGAAGCAGAAGAAAAATAGAGAAAGAGGCAGCCTGAGAGAGAGAGAGTTGTGAATGTGAGCTTCGCCTGGCTCCAACAATAAAACGCAACTGACACATTATTGTATCAGTAAAAATAATCCAATAATGTAATATATAAGAATGTAACACTGACAGGAGGCGGGGCTTTTACTCATAATATAGAAATTCTAGTGTACAGTATTACCACTTTAACTTAAGTAAAGGATGTACTTTTTCCACCACCGGCTACAGGGCTAATACACAGGCCACAGCAGGGCTTAACAGAGCTACACATTTCTGGCCAATCAGGTTACCGCCATCAACTCTGGCCCTTTTTGGGAATCAGGCTGTTGGGGCATCTCTTCTCCACAAACTTGAGAAAAACCTTGCTTCTCTAATCAGCTGACTGTGAGTTTTGAATGTATGAAGCTTAAGGATAGTGTTCCTGTTTGAACTTACCCTGAGCTTCATTTGAATATGAGTTTGATAATTGATCTGTTTAAGGCGTTTGTAAGACTGCGTTAGTGCTTTTAAATGTCATTTACTGATCACACAGCCCATAAGATCATAATATGACAACAATTATTAACTGATGGTTGTCAGAAACATGAACATCTATTATGTCTTTTGATGACATCACAGCCATGGCAGGCTACCTGTCTCCCTCTTGGATAGTTAATATGGATTTTTTTTGGCCTGATGGTGGTCCAGGTAGGATTTCTTAGATTACTTTTCCAAGTTTGTACCAATGTCTTAGGCTTGAACTTGTCATTACAAAATGTTTTAAATAATCCTGTAAGGGCTTGTCATTTTCTACACTGTAAAATTAATCAATATAATGTCCTTGAGTTCATCAAAAGTAAAATATATTAGCACACTAGCCCATATTTATTGAAAGCTGTTTACTTTTAAACCATCCAGTTTAGTGCCAGGAATTGGATAATTTATGCCACATCCTGTGGATGAGGGCTTTTTTTGGTTTATTAAAATTACTTATTTTCTCTTCGTCAACCACGATCACCACCAGCGGGTAATGGACAGTACCTGTGGGTGGTGAGAGTCCCAGTGAGTGGTGGGGACACCACCCATGGGGCACTCCTGTTAGAATGATTTTTCTTACATTTTTTTACTTCGGTTAAATGGGGACCCCACATTTTACATAAGGTCGTTTCACTGCTTATCCTGTGGCAACAGTTGTCCGCTGTGGCTCTGAAGAAGCTCTGTCAAGTCTGAAAAAAAAACTACAGTAATCTTGGATTTTACACTGTAACAGAACGTATTGGTGGTTGTATTGTTTTCTTAGACAGTTTGTGTTAGATATTTCACAAAATAAATGCTGGGACTGACACGTTTGGTGCAAGCACTATAGCAGGAATACAGAAAACATTCAAATGCAGATGAAAGAGGCAGAGTAGATGAAGTTCAATTATTTATGAGAAAATAATGTTTTATGGCTTACAGGATCATGAGGCAGGCAAGGTCCAAAGCCAGAAAGGCAGTCCACAACAGGCAAATTAATCCTACAGGGAACAGACATGAAATCAATGTCCAAATAATAGGGCAGTCAGACAGGCTTGTAGGCAACAGGGCTCCAGGTAACAGGCTTGAAGGCGATGTCATTAAAAAAACAAGCAGCATTGGACGATCTGGCAAGGAATTAGTAGAAAAGGTGTGGAAATGGGTGGGGCAGTCAGGTGATGTTTATGGTCATCTGGTGGACTGATGAAAAATGGCAGTGAAAGGGCCTTTGGAACCAGGAAAGGGGACAGACTGTGACAGGGACACCAGAAGGCCCACTTCCAAGCCCACTGATATTCACCCTATATGCTTCCACTCACTATCTATAAAATTAACAATAACAGTTGGATGGATTGGCATGAAATGCTCGTTCATGTTCCTCTCAGGATGAACTGTAATACCTTTGGTGATCCCTGAACTTTTCATCGAGCACCATCATCAGGTCATATTTTTCCAATACTTTGGTTTAGGACTAAGGACATTAGCATTTAGCTCAACCGCAGCTGTGCCTGCGTACAGCCTCACAGAGTTTCTAGCATGGCTGTAGACTCTTATCCTTGTTTTCATCTTCTCCATATTGTTTGATTCAGAGTCGGATGTAAGTGTTTGTCCAAAAATATTTGATTAGTGCTATTTCTCTGCACATGCCTGAGTCTTGACCATAGGAGTAAGAAAATACTGTATGACTATGATATATGTGGTACTCCTCACAGTACTTTCACTCAAGTAAAGGATCTGAATACTTCCGTCGCTACTGACCAGGCATCATGTTGATGCTTTATTCTAAGAACCAAAACTGGGTCTTGATTGTAAAAATGATAAAAGTTCTGTAGAAAAACAGAATATGATTGAATTTTGTGTGTTAAAGTAATTTGTTAAGGTCCATGAAGTTTTAATGTTTGGAATTCAATACAAAATTCTGCAAGATAATAGAAATAATGATTCATAGATCACTGCTCACAACACATTTGATTTTATCTGCTTTTACAGTTTGACAGTCGCATTTTCCAGCTTACACCAAACATATGTACGTAAGGACACTGATTAAAATCTGCAAGTATCATTAACGGTGTGTGGAAAAAAACAGAAAATGTGTCACATCTCTGCAATGACATTAAATATGTATTTTATAATGGAATGAAACCACCTGTCTCTTGTATATGCTAATGTATTTATTTTTATTTCTTCAAGTTTAAAAAATGTTCCTTCCTGTCACTAATTGGTGGGGTGCGTTCAAAACACAGCTCTTTTATTGCATTGCAATTAAATTAACAGCAAATTCAGCATGCTAATAATAGTTGTGAATAAATAACAGTTAAAAGTACTGTAAATATAAAATCATTGTTTACAAAAAAGATGATGCAATTATTGCTTTTTCTAACAATGTTGCTCAAATAACGTCACAATCAAGACATTAATTAACAGTAAAAAACTGTATCAAGTAAAAATTGCATTTTTAGTGCACAATCATGGATTTTCCTTTAACTAATAAATAACACTTTTCACCAAATATAAATAGGTTAAATAAATTGTGCAATAGTGGGCGTTGCAAGCCCTGCTGTCTTTAAGTCATAGACTGCTATAGATACCTACAGTAGAATTAGTGCACTCAGAGCATGAACTTTCTGATACCCCCTTAACATCACCCCATTTCCCTGAGGTATTCCTTCATAAGCGATTTTTAATACTTTCAGCTATTTTAACTTTGGTGTTAGAAAGTGTCAGATGACGGGCTCCTTTTGTTGATTTCTATTTTGCAGTCGACAAGGAAGTAGTGGAGCTGGCGCAGGATGCTGTGTGCCGTCATCTTTCTGTGGAAAATGTCAGGGTTGTCGAGGTCCTTCAGCAGCACCTCCTCCTGGCTGCTAGTGAGTGCCGTGACCTGTTCAGGGTTCCTCATCTGTGGGGCAGAGGTGACAGTGGTGTAACAGGACTTAACAGTGCTGTAATGTAATAATAAACCTATGTAAGTCAATCCATTAAAATGTCATTTACAATTAGACAGGATTGAAAATGAACAACAAAATTTGACATTTAGTTTTAAAAGAAATTAAAAACAGGACATTAAATAACTGAGCTATAACCAGTGGTGGAATGTAACTAAATACATTTACTGAAGTACAGAGCTTACAATTTTGTGCTACTTCCACTACACTATGTTTCTGAAGAAATTATTGTCATTTTTACTGTCATTTGCCAGATATAGTTACAAGTTGCTTTGCAGATACATACAATACTCATGAGAAGCTTAAAAAAATACAAAGCACTGCCATTGTTAAACAGTATACAAAGTAAAGTGAGCTCCACCTTGGCCGGCTACAACTATAAAACACAACTGACACATTATTGCATCAGCAAAAATAATCCAATAATGTAATATATAAGAATGTAACACTGACAGGAGGTGGGGCTTTTAGTACTTTTACAGTGTGGTATTGCTACTTTTACGTAAGTAGATGTAAATACTTTTTTCACCACTACAACAAACATGATGAAAAAGTGAGCCAGATGAAAAACAATTGCATAAAGACCAGGACAGGGCTAATACACAGGCCACCATAGGGCTTAACAACCTACAAATTGAAATATAATTTTTAGTTTAGCATCTCAGACCCACCTTTCCTTTGATCAGGCTAATCAAATTACCACCATTAACTCTGGCCTCTTTGGGGATCCGGCTGTTAGGGAACTCCTTCTCCACAAACTTGAGAATAACAGTGTAAATAAGCAAGTCGTGGGCCAAACTGTGGAGAAAGACCTCCTGGAGAGAGGAAAGAAAATCACTGTCAGTGATGAAAAGAAACCCACCACCCAGTTTCTTTCATCAGTGTAACAGGATGACAGAGGAGGAAACATAACTACCTCACTGATGCTGGAATTAGAGCAGTTTTTTGGAAGTGAGGAGGTTTTGTAGTTGTCCAGAATGAGATATTGCACGTCTTTGAATTCATCTTCAAACTGATACAGGGCAAATGATAAAAAACACATGATGGAGGTCAGGAGTGCAGTTTACTTTACATCACTCTAACTTTCAAAATTAGTAGGTAAAACTTGGCCTTCACTGGTGCACCTCAATATGTTCAGGCAACACGCTTACCTCCCCCTTGTGGCGTTTGGTTTTGTCAAGCATCAAGTCCCTGAGTAGGTCAGACAGTTTCGGCTCCTCCTCACCTGAGGTGTCACCTGCCAGGGTGTCGGTGGGCGCGTCTACAACTGGAGCTCCGGGAGCGAGCTGGAGCAGAGCTGCCAGCATCACTGCAGAGAGCAAGTAAGCGTCTGTGCGGGGAGGAGAAGCATGAATGAATGACTGACTGAAAAGAGGAAGAAACACGGGAAACATGTGCACCACAGGCTGCAAATCACTTACTGAGTTTAGAGGGCATGTTGTGCTGCTGGGAAGCAAGTTGAGTTTCCACTGATGCTGAGGGCTGTCAGGGCCAGAAGGAGGTGCTCTGTCTTTGTGATGGGCTGTCATTTTATATTCTTCAGTTTGGAGGGATTTCCCAATTCCCCACTGCAACAGGCACGGACTTAAAGGTTTGTGTCATCTATCTGTGGTTGATGGTGATTTTGATGAAGATGGCAGAAGTGTCCATCCTTAAAAATGACCAGCAAGAGCAGGAATTTACAAGATGCTTTGATTCTTTTGTAGTTCAAATTAACAGCTACAATGCTCTATAAGTAATCATTTCAATAACTTGACCAATAATGAAACACGTTTAAAACACACACACAAAGTCAGTGTTGACATACTTGTGAAAAAAAATCCCTATGATATTTTAAGCCATATAATTTAAAGGGAAATCCACCAAAACCATACATTTGCATAAAAGCTTCCTGATGGCCTGTGGTGGTAAAATCAGTATCGATGAAATATACAAACATTATCCGGTGACGTGAAGTCAAATTGATGGTGGGTTTTGAATTTGAATTACACACTCAGGGACAAGTTGCCTTTTCCAGGCAACTGTCTGGATTTGCAACACTTATGTTATATAATCCCCCCCCCAAATGATCAGCTGATCAATATATCCAACTGTGTATTTTAATTCTCATGGTATTGTATCAAAATATTTTTTTTATAAAATGAAGTTTAATTAGTGCATGAAATTAGTGATTCTCTTTTGGGATGGCAGTGGTTTGTTGGTTGGTCGGCCAGCACATGACTTTGGTTCAGACTGAAATATCTCAACAACTGTTATATGGATTGCCATGAGATATTCATGGTCCCCAGTGGATAAACTGTAATAACTTTAGTGATCCAACAACATTTCCCTTCCTTTACTTGTGATCCCTGAACCTTTTATCGGGCGCCATCATCAGGCCTTGTTTTTATCCTCTCCATATTGTTTTCAGATACAGTGCAGGATGTAAATGTTAGTCCAAAAAGATTTGATTACTACTACTACTCCCTAGCTCCTGCCTGACTTTTTGACTATAGGAGTAAGAAAATACTGTATGACTATAGTTGGCTGCATGCCAGCTATGTGGGACTCCTTACACACACTCTAAGTTCATGCTGATATTAATTTGAAGTGGCTTTGATATGATTTCATGTATAATATGGGCTACCACTGTACCATTTACTGCCATGCACCCACTGATTGTTAGGCACTGACTAATTCCTGTAGGTTTCTTGTCTCCCTCCCTTTCCTGGAATGCTCTCCCTGCAGTGGTAATAGACATTAACCCTCAAATGTGTTATCATTCTGGTTTAAACCCTGTGTAGTTTTACCATCGTGGGACCAATTGTGGTCTTGCATTCCAGAAGTGACAGGGTAGAAGGGATATAACTCACAATAGTGTGGGTTCCTGTTCTCAGGGATTAGTGCAAGTTCAATGTAGGTGCATTTGCCAACTTTTTTGTTTCCAAGTTGAAATATATGGTATTAGTGGTCCGCAGCTGTTTTTTCTTGACATTTGTTTAGCAGCTTGTTTTCACTAAAGCAGAGGAAGAGGATTCCTTTTCTGTGCTTCTTCCATTTTCCTCCTCCCCGAAATGTTTTACATATTAAGGGTATTCTTTGTTTCTATTGTAAAGTAAAATTTGTGTTTTGATTTAAATTTCCAGTGTTAATATGCAAAGATAAGAAGACTATATCTGAGTCTTTAAATGTGACGAAATGTGACGACTTTGAGGACAGTACAGTACGTCACCATTCTGTGAAACTTGGCTAGGATATGACCAAAGTCCTTATCGTCTCTGATATGACCCTGAGACTTTTGCCAAAATATGATCCTAACTTGGATATGAGCTTTGTTCTTCACCTGTATTGTGTGCCTAATTAGTCACACACATTGTTTTCTTGTAATCACTTGAAATAGAATAAAAGAGGTGAGTACCAAAGAATTAATCAGCTCGAGATACATCATTTCCTTTTTCCTTAAACATTCAAAGAAAAGCCACCTTCCTCCACCAACTCCCATGTTTTCACAACTTTATTTCTTTCTTCATATTCTCCTTTCAGATACTTGCAATACTAATAGTTGCAACTACTTTCCATTTAATTCAGCATGGCAACGTGTATTCATTAGTGCTTTACTCCATAGGCTCTGTGACATGCTTGGTAATCAAAATATCTGCTACTATTTTTGATATGTAATTTTCCCTCCTGTCACTTGGGATTACTCATGGGGAATCAAACCGGAGAACTCCCAAACTGGTTTTTAAAAAAAAGCAGTAACCTGCATACAAATTGATGCTTTATCTGCTTTATGGGCGATGTTGTAAGAAAGGGTTTGTGTCCACTTTTGATCGGGGAGTGTTTCAGTACTTTCAGTGGACAATCTGAGACTTCAGAATAGCTCAGTGGTTTGCAGCGCGCCGTCTGAGGTCAATGGGAAGTGCCGATCCTGGACATTCTCTTAAAGAAACACTTTCAGTTTGACATGCAAAGTTTTGAGTTGTACATCTATTATAATTCTAGACCTTGAGGAGCATTAATTTATTGTGTGATTATTGTGCTCACTTTTCTCGTTTGAGGAAGAAAGTCTGCTGAGCTGGAAGAAGTGCTCTGAATCATTTCTTCTTTTTTTGTAACCAAAGTAATTCATTGTTTACCACAAATGTCCACATTATGCACACTATATCAACCACAGACAAACCGTGCCTCTTTTATTGCAAATTAATTCCCTTGAAAATCCAATTATTATTCTTTCTAAAAAATGTAATAAACACTTATAAAGCAGCTTTGTACTGTTTTGTAACCTCTCAGTGCATGGCAAGATGTACACGCACATGTGTGTGTGTGTGTATTTGTAATGTTTACTTTACTTCTCTGTTTTGCTACTTTGCATTTTAAAAGGGGCTTAACACTAAGCAGCTTGGAAGGAATGCACATTATGATTTAGTGGTGCGCTCAGAAAACACATAAAGGAATGAGTTCCAAACTTTCAATCGAAATTGAAAATATCTGTCATCTGCTATATTTATAAAATAATGATTCAAACTAAAAATGTGTTCAAAGGAAAGATCAAATTAATAGCCGTACTGAGATTTCAATCATATTGTGTGCTCTTTATTAGCAGCTGATCAAGTAATGAAGATCATGTGAAATAACTAACACAAAATAGTCTAAAGCAATTTTGTCAATATCATCTAAAAACCTTTAGTGAAGCAGTTTTGGGGCCAAATATTATCAACTCTACAGTAAGCAAGTGTCACTCTTACTGCCATGACAATAAGGAGGTCCTTAAAGCTTGTTTCATTTTCCTCTTCTTGCTTTCTCGAAGGATCTTTGATAGGAGAAGTTAGCAAGATGTCAGCAGGTCAAAGGCAAAGACGCTGAGTCACGGACACTACCATTGCTATCATGACAGACATTATTATTCATATGAGTTAAAACATTAAAACTTTATAACTCATCAATCAATGAACTGCTTTAACGTCATAGGATTAATGTTAATTACATTCTTAGAAACATTATTCAACATTTGTATCAGTCCATCAGCTGACTTGCTCTTGCTCCGCAGTTTTGTTTCTGTCATGCTTCTACTGAAATTCTTATGACTAGGAAAGGTGGGGATGACATTTTTTTACACGCCAACCCACCACCAGGGTTTATATGTTTCGTCTGCATGTGCAAATACATTAAGCAATCACATAGAATAGAATAGAATAGAAAAACTTTATTAATCCCCAATGGGGAAACTCAATTGCCACCAGCATATACCACACAACATACAGTATAAACAGAAAGGACAACCAGTATGTACAAACAAGACAACATCAACAAAAAAAAATACAATGCACCCATTTAAAGCCTTGAGAACTCTGATTAGAGATGACAGGTTTTTAAAAATGTGACCAGCTGAAAAGCTTAAAGACAAAAATCAGAAATATTCATTAAAAAATCGAATTGCTGTTGGAATAAAAGACCTTCTTGGCCGTTCAGTAGAACACCGAGGCATCTTAAGTCGGCCACTAAAGGAACTACTAAGTGTCTTAAGGACACACAGCCTTTTTAATCAACTTATTAATCCTATTTTTATCCTCTAAGGTAATGCTGCCTCCCCAGCAAAGCACAGAATAAAAAAGAACACTGGCTATAGTACCTTGGTAATAATAATAATCGGTATAAAGCAGATTACTGCTCACATCAAAGGATCTTCCTTAGGAAAAATAGCTTTGACTGGGCCTTCTTAAAAACAATGTCTGTGTTTTTTTCCAGTTTAATTTACTGCCCAGGCAAACACCGATATATTTATAGGACAAGACAAATTCGATTTGCTGATCTTTGATGATCACAGGAAGAACCTCCTCCTTCTTCCTCCTAAAGTCAATACATTTCAACATTTAGTTGAAAAAAGTTTGACTCACGATGGACTGGCGTCCTGTCCAGGGTGTACCCCGGCCTTCGCCCGATGTCAGCTGGGATTGGCTCCAGCCCCCCCACGACCCTGTACGCAGGATAAGCGGTTGACGATGGATGGATGGATGGAACTTTGACTCACACCAATTCACAAAGGAGGCAATTTCATTTTTATAGGCCTGGTCATCACCACGATTAAGAAGACCAACAAGGGCAGCGTTAATCCGAAAATTTCTGAATGTGGCAAGATGCCTCACTATGCCTGTAGTCAGAAGAGTAGAGTAGTGTGAATAAAAAAGGGGATAAAACTGTGCCCTATGGTGCTCCTGTTTTAGTTAGAATATTGTCAGATATTTTGTTATCAAATCTGACAAACTGGGGACATAACAAGAGGTAGCCTAGTCTAAAATCCAAGCAATAGTGGTGTTGTGTAATTTAAAATTAATTACTTTTTGGGCTAAAATGTGTGGTTGAATAGTGTTAAACGCACTACAAAAATCAATCAGATGTTTCCATATCACTGGAATTTGTGATGACGATAGACACAACGAAAAAATTGTGTGCAGTACTGA